GGACAGGTAGTTGTCTGGATACTCTTCGTCAGGGCTGTTTGCGCACGCCATTGAGTCGGCCCCTGACAGTCCCCACACATTCCAGCATCGCAGGGGCTTATTCGATCACATGCGCATGTACGAATAATCAGTGAGGTCCCGGTGCCCCTGTTTACATTAGTGAGCTTAAACGAATCGGGAGAAGTGTGATACAGGCAGATATGGATTCACGTCCCTTATTTACCGGAATCACAGTCTTCTTCAGTCGTCTGACTCATACTGTGTAAGGAGAGGTCAAAGTAGAGGCAGATGCCACGAAGACTTCATTTGCGTGCAAGCTAGAGTTGCCCCCTCGGGATAGTACGGCTCCTCTTCGTTTCTTGTAAATGATCTACCGTTAAGAGGTGTGCGCCTAAAAATCGAAGCTCCCCACGAATTCTAACCAACGTCAGATCACGTCGTTTTTGATTTGCTATCCCAGGTAGGAACAAGACGCGCTTATTTGAAAGTCATCAGCTTGGTTTCTGCAACTCGTTGGGTGCCTGGTGTGCATCCGCGTCAAAGTGGCTTCCCAATCGCCCACTAAATGACACCCGGTCTACATTCCAATAAACATTGTGCAGCAAAGACAGAAATAATGCGGTAGTTCATACCTCTGGTTGACATGGAATTCACCCAGTCTATTTCGATAGAGTCCCGGAAACTGAGTGATCCGCCGAGCCTCATCAGTAAGGCAAAGAAGCTTGCTCGAATCGAGCAGCAAAATGAATGCGTATCCGGCATGATTGCTGCGCACGTGCATTCGCATGTCGCAGATGTCATGCAGAAAGCAACACTTGGTTGACAAGACGGACTCCATCTCATCGGGACCTGGCAGTTGCCAGGTGGGGAAGGACGCGACTGCACCACAAACCAGACACAGACTCAGAGGGGAGGTATCGTTACTGCCGGGGTGTTGATTCCTGTGCATGTCGGATGAAAAAGGTAGTAAGGAGAAAAAAAGACTACTGCATGAAGCATAGTTCAATTAAAATCAAAACCTCTTTCAGAAATCCATACCGGCTGTTCTTAAGGAATGGGTGCCAAATTCATATAAAACAACATAGGGCAAATTTAACTCTTGAGTTTGGATGCTGTGTGGATATGTGTTTCGCTTCAGTGACCAAAAATACTTCTTTCATTGAGTGTCATGCATATCTCGTTCTACTTAGATTGCCGGTTACGTAGTGCGTCTGCCATAGATGAACTTACTCATGCAATGTGTTGATCGAATATGAGGTAGTAGTGTAGCGGACCTTACCACCACTGCTGCCAGACGCGCAACTGAGGCGCACCCAAACGTA